AAAGCAACAGGGATAAGCAAACCACAGAATGAAGCCAGTGAAACCATGAATCAAAACAAGCTTTTCCTCCTTGAAAGTTTATTTTCTCAGGTATTTTGTCACAGCAACAGAAAGCCAATCCATATAAGTAGTTCCAAAGAAGAAATAGGGGCAGGGAAGAAAATAACCAAATACTTTAAGAATAGTCTCAGTACTGAATATGTGTTTCTCAATTGCAAGGGCTCAAAAATGTCTAGTGTGCTAGATAAGATATACCCAGGCCTACCTTCACATTTCTCAACATTAGGAATATATCAGTCAGTGCAGGCTTTGTTATGCTGCAGCAATCAGCTGCCAGGGAACCCTCAGAGGCTGAAAACAAGATTTATTCTTCTTTCTTTCTTTATTTTTTTTAGTTGTAGGTGGACACAATATTTTTATTTATTTAGTTTTTTATATGGTGCTGAGGATCAAACCCAGTGCTTCACTTGTGCTAGGCAAGCACTCTACCCCTGAGCCACAACCCTAGCCCACAAGATTTATTCTTTAGGTTATTTCAGTGGACTGAAGCAAAGGAGAGGCTGTTCTCTTAACTGAGTACCATCACCTGAATGCTGTTATTTACCAGACCAGAGGGGAAGAAAACCAAAGCAGCTACCTGCATCTATAGCACCACGAAGGGCCCAGAGGAGAGGTGAGGCAGGTGTGTTCAGCTTCTGGGCATAGCGACTACACGAGGCCCTGGAGCACGAAGGGTGAGGAAGGCAGTGCTATCAAAAGCAGGGGCCGTAGGCTGGAAATGGGTAGTGAGTCCTGATTACCTGGGGCACACAGAGCCCACAATCTCCAAATAGAAGGACTGACTCAAAAATCCTCAATAGTATTAAAAGCCAGAAAGTAATGCAACAATACCTTAAAATCCTGAAGGGACTTTTTTCTGGAATTCTACATTATCAATCCATCAAGTATGATGGCAGAAAAGACACTTATGGATAAAGCTTCAAAACTTACCTCCTTGGCTGGGGTTATGGCTCAGTGGTAGAGCGCTTGCCTAGTATGTGTGAGGCACTGGGTTTGATCTCAGCACCACATAAAAATAAATAAATAAAATAAAGGTATTTTACAACTAAACATCTACAACTAAAAAAAAAAAAAAAGAAGAAAAAAATGCCAAAATTTACCTCCTGATGCCAGTGATCAGCTCCTTCTAAAAGGTGTGCCAATGAAGGGATATTCTGATGCTTAAAAATTATAAACCTCCTGGGCAAAGGCATGGACAACTGGCAAAATATGTGGAGTTGGATCAGTTATAGTATGCAGAAAGCGAAGCATATTGAAAACAAAGCCAAAACAGCCAATTAGCTCTAGAGAGAGTAAAAAGAAATATACACCATGACTCACTGTGAATAGCACTTCACTGTGAATAGTCATACATAAAAACTAAAGTTTGATCTCAATCATCTCCCAAACAACAAAGTCACAGGTATGTTTTATCTATGACTGAAAAATCAGAAAGCCTGATTCAGCAAAACAATGATAAATATGAAAATAATCAAATAATGAGCTAGGCAGACACGAAGGGCTTATTTCTGGGTATGCGGAAACAGGAGCATGGAGGTTGTTAAACCTAACAAAGCCTGCCAAGGATATGTGACTGCAAACCTTGCTCGAGATTCATCTGACTTTTTAAACTACATATATGTTTAAAATAAACAAACAAAAATCCCTAAAGATAACATAAGCTGGATCTACACCTAGCAACTTCCTAGTAGGTTGGCATAAATTTTGATTCAATCCATCCTGAAGTTACTGAACTCTTCTGATGCATTAACGGCACTGCCTTAAACACTATACAGGCTGAAATGAAGATGACTCAATCTCTGCCCTCAAGGATTAGGGATTTCATTGAGAAAAGAACATGTGCATGGAAAAGAATTCAAGTGAAATGTAAGTCGGCCTATGGTCTCTCTCTCTCACACACTCACCCACTAGTTGGTGCAGAAGTTATACGACGGCAAGAAGGGAGACTCTAGGTAACAGTGAGCAACAAAGACTGGGAGAGAATTAAAAGTAGAAAGATTCACAGAACTTGAGCTTGAGGAACAGAAAGGAAGTTTCTAAAAGGCAGACTCGCAGGGAAGGTATATATAATTAGGAGAATGTACACGCTTTTCTTGTTTTTTAAACAGAGTTGAGATTTTATTCATAATAGGACAGCAAGATTATTAACAAGGAGAAACACAGAAATCACAGGAATCATTGTGACCAGTCTACATCTTTAGAATCCTCAAACACTATCAAGCAGAGAAGCCCTGTAACATTTTTTCTTGGCAAAGCTGCTCTCATTTACCATCATCATTCATTATTAACATTGCCTCCATCCCAGTCTTAAAATCCTGGCTAAAATGACCACCCAATTCGTGAGCTGGACTGAGGCCTCCAGGTCTGTCTACTCTGACCCTGATCTGCCTCAAAAACTTCATCACTGGGCTATAATTCCACACTCCAATGACACTACTCTTCTTTGCATTAGTACAATATTCCCTGCTCTTCGCTGCCACAGGACTCTGCACATAACTGTTTCTTCTGGAACATATACTTTCTATACTTTCTCTATGAACACTTACAGATTGGTCATTGTCTGCTCACACCTCAATTCCCCAGGGAACCTTAAACTTCACATAGGAGGCAGCAATCTGTGTTTAAAAAACAAAACAAGAAAAACCAAACTCTAGGTGATTCTGATGCATAGTCAAAAACCCCTAATGCTATCACTCAGGAGTCCCTTCACAAGCTCTCATGCATTCCTTTCCTTTATTCACATCAGTTTGCAATTTTCCTTCATATAATTTTCCTTTCGATGATTGTCCGATTCATGCCCATTTCTTTCTTGGCAAATGGGGGTTCCCTATTCCATAGCAAGAGAATCACAAAGAAACTATTAAAAATGCAAAATTTTCAGGACACATCCTAGGCCTACTAAATCTGAATCTTTAGATGAGACAGCAATCTGTGTTTTTTTAAAAAAAAAAAAAAAAAAAACCCAAAACAAGGGCTGGGTTTGTAGTTCAGTGGAAGAGTGCTTTCCTAACACATGTGAGGCATTGGGTTCAATTCTCAGCACCATATATAAATAAAATAAAGGTTCATTGACAACTAAACTAAAAAATATTTATAAAAAAAAAGAAGCAACACCTTCTAGATGATTCTTCTGTATACTCAGAAAGTATGAGACCATTGCTGTTAAGCTACTGGGTCTAGATTCAGTGTTATCTTGGCAAAAACTAGATGTTTTTGCACTCCCTAGTGTACCCTGGTACCAAGTTCAGCAAGAAACAATAGTAAAGACTAGGTAAGATTTGCTGAACAAGTGAATGGTGAAAAATTTTCTATGGCTCCATAAATTCCCTGACTTATTAATTCTAAACCCCCGGGTCTAACTTTAAAAGTGAAGCACCAAACATTCCCCTCCAACCCCCAAATCAACACTGAAATCTGCAGTCCAATGGCCCCAGTGTCATTTGAGGGCTCAAACCTTTGCTCTCCATAGTCTGCATTTGTGTGATCATGTATTTCCTAATCTCTCTTGAACTTAATTTTCTCACCCCTAAAATGGGAACAATCATAGTACTTACTTCCTTGGGTTGTTAAGATAATTGAGACAATGGTCCTAAGAATCATACCTGTGCATATACAGTTAAGCACTAAACAAACTTAGGTATTATTATTGTCATGTTATTATTATTATTATAATAATAATTCAATCATAAGTGGTCTCTTTCTCTTGGGTCTCAGATTTCTTTCTCAATACTGACTTCACACTTCAGGCTAGTTTTTACTTCCTTGCAAAACTACTCACATCTAATACCCATCCCTGAAACTTCTCCTAGCAACCAGGAGCCCTGCTTGAGTTTCCGGACTCCACCTCCTGGAGCAGATGGGCTGTAGCAGACAGGATGGGTCTCACACTTGCCTTCCTATCAGCTGAAGCCATTTTCCGGAGTACCCAGTCACTTGGGAATCAGATCTAAGTAACTCAACCAGTTCATTTATGTATCTGTCTGGATGCTACGATTCAAACGGACCTCACGTTGGGAGCTATTTTTAGTCAAATTTTGGTACTTGGTAAAGTATTAATAGCAGCAAATATTTTCCCACCAAATAGACCTTTAAATAAATAAATAAATAACAGCTTATGCCTCTCTTAAGAGAGGCAGAGGACCCACCACCTGTCTGCAAATTGGTCCTCCTGTCCTCTCTCCAGGCAGCAGAATGCGAGTGGAGGCAGAAAGCAGAACCTCACAAGCCAAAGCTGTGGGAACGCCCCGCCAGGTCTCCTGTGTGGGGCTCCCTGCTGGGCCAGGCTGAAGTCGCGCGGAGCCCCGGGGGTGGGGACACCTGGCAACCCGGTGCCTCTGCGCTTGGACACCTGGGCGCGGTCGCAGGGGCTGGCAACACTTGGCTCCCCCAGAGTTAAATGCTGAGTAATTTTCCTGTGGAGCAAACAGTCGGAGCGGGGACTCTGCCAATGGCAACAGTATTTTTATCCTACTTTAACCAACACCGCAGCGCGGCCGCGGGCGTCCTGAAGGGTGTCCCCGCGCGGCACTCTCTGGAATCGCCGGCCGGGACCCTCAAAGGCTCCCAGGGCGACGTGGACAGCAGTGCCGCCACCGAGTCCCGTGCTACCCAGTGCGGGGCCGCGGGGTAGGCGGAGGACGGTGGCATCTCTGCCGCGCGGAGCCCGTGGTCACCGAGACCGGGGCAAAGGCCCTTCCACTCGGCCTCCGGGTCTCCTCGCCTGGGCCTAAGCGTCCCAGGGTCTGCGCCCAAGTTGGCCGGCTGCTCTGCTGCTAAAGTGCAAAAGGGTAGAACCAGTAGCTCCCGGGGAAGGGAGGGACACTGGATGCAGAGCCACCCTGGGGCCCCACACCGCCCGCTGCCGGGCCCGCACACCCTAGTCCCCGCCGCGGAGTCGGGGAATGAATGGGGTTCTCAGGGCCACCGCGCCGTGTACTCACAGGCGACGTAGGCGAGCAAGGCGATGCCCAGCAGCAGCTTCATCGTCCTGCGGTTGACGGCAGACACGAGGCGCACTAGCGCCTTGCTCACCATCCCCAGGAGCCGCGCGGGTCCTGGACGCTGCCGCGCGGGGGCCCGCCTGCTACACAATGCGCGGCGGCGGCCGCCCGGGAAGAACCCGCCCCCTTCGCCCGCGCGGCCCCGCCCCCACGCTCCGGTTTCCTGTCCGCAGGACCCTTGCGCACGCGTAACTCCGCCCCCGCCTCCGGCTCCACCCCCGCTGCCCCGCCCCTACTGCTCTTCTTCCCGCAGGCGCAGTGGCCGAGGCTCGCGCCTGGGTTTTCGAAGAACGTGTCTGAGGGAGGGCGCGGCGCATGCGCATCTTGGCGTGTTTTCCGCCAGCTCCGGGGATCGCTGGAGCCGAGGTGTGGAAGGCTCGCAGTCAGAAAGGGTGTGTCTCCCTGACTGAAGGCTAGACCGCGGGTTCCGAGTTTCCGAACCCAGCCCAGCGGGTGGCACGCGGTGGGCACTGTAGGGTTGACATGAAAGGAAGCACATATTTATGCCAAATTTGGCGTGCGTTTGAAGTTCTTTGAATGCTTCTCTCAGAAAGTTGACTGAACGGTTGGTTCTCCGGGCTGTTCTGAAAGCTTCTTGATTTGTGATAAGGGCAGCGGAAATGATGAATTCCCTAAACGCTGCCAGCGTCCAAAACCACAGCACGTTTTCTGTTATGAGCAACTGGGATGTCGTTCTTTTAAAAACAGATTATTATTAAAAAGTAATGCTAATCACATAAATTTAGGATAAATCAGGAAAAGGGGAAAATAAAATATTCCATCGTGTGAGTTTCATCCCAATCTTTTTGTTGAGTTTATCTGTTCCATGTAGTTATGCGGTGAATAGCTGTGCTGTACTGATTTCATGAGGACCTGAAGTTATGTCTTTGATAAGCATTTATTGTGATGGGGACCATAAACATGGAGAGTCAAAGGGTCTACTGTAATCAGAAGTTCATGGTCAGATTCACAGAGAGCTGGGTTATAGAGAAGAAAAGACAGTTGCACAGGCCTGTATGACACCAAGGTCCCAAGGTAATTGGGAGCTGGTAATCTTTGACCACAGGGAGAAGTTTCTGCCAGAAGACTGCTACAGCTCTGACCTCCTGCAACCTCCGGACCAATTTTGCTATACTCAGTCATTGAATAACCTCCTTTGACTTTATTAGAAAACTCCAACAAAAATAAGTACCCCAACTAGCAATAAATCAAAGCAGTAATGTGGCCCATCATTCAAACTACAGAGCACAAATCCTGTCCTTCTGGGATTCTGATGCAACATTCCCCCCATTGGATCCCTCCCCATGAACATTGAGAATCATTGGATTGAGGAAAGAAGCTGAGCAAATTCCCATAAGGGCAGAACCACCCTGCTATTATCCATGCTGCCTCCCTGCAAGAAGCCCAGTTCCCTGTGTCTGAGGTGTCCAAAGAGGCTGCCAGGTGAAAAAACACTTGACATGGGAGCCAGAGGCCTGGGTCCCAGAGTGATCAGGTCCCAGAGCAGACCTTTTTGGAACAAATTAGTTTTTGTCTGTGAATCTTCCTTTCCTCATCACTGGACATTTGGGGTTTGTTAAATCTATGATTTTTGAAAAGAGAAATATCTAGAATAGGTCGTGGTCCTGATCACCTCCCATTCTCTGATCTGGTGGTTTTTATATTAAAACTAAGGAGCAGAGATGGGAGAAAAGACTTTGCTGACACCTGTGCTGCCAGAAAAATTAGACTGAAGATTCTAGCAAATTTTAAGCATATAGTTTGTAAGTGGGGTTTAATTTATAGGTATGTATTAGTTCAGGTAGACCAGAAACTGGGATACATTTTATTTCTGCACAAAACTCTTTAAATCCAACCTTCCTAGTTGAGTGTTTTTCATGCTGTCAGACACTATTACCAACTTCTGCCTCCTTGGATGAATCCTGTGGAAATCCCATTACTACTAAAGTAGCTGCTGTTGTCATTGCCATCTGAAAGACTGTTGGTATCCCAAGGAACTCAGCCAGAGTTCAGGCGTAAGCAACAGTAAGTGTGGCCCCGGTAAGATCAGAAGGCCTGAGGAAAGAGCTGCCAAAGAGACCCTCCAAGCTCTCCTTGGCCTTAGACAGCACCCCATCAATACCCCTGAGCTTCCCTGTCTCATCCTAGCCCTCCACATTCTGGAACAGATTCTGGGTTCACATCCCTACCCCCACGTTGCCCTTGCTGTCAACCCCCTCCATTCTTCCCATGGATCTGTTAACAACAATATTTTAAAGCAATTACTAGTTAAAAGGCAGTGCTCTTCACACTCATGCTAATTAAAAAATGAATCATAATATGGCTCTTCTTCTGAAGTGTTAAAAATCAAAGGAAAAGAGAAAAACTAACATTTATTAAACTTCAACAATGTTCCAGGGACTATTACACCAGGAACTTTTACAATTTATCACATTTAATTCGTGTAACTCTCTGTGGGATAGAGTTTCTTTGTTGCCACTATCCTTTTTTTAGATAGTAGCTGTTAAACCTGCAAAGAAAAGACCACCAACTCCAATTTTAAATCAAATTAAAGCAAGCCTATATTGTGTACACAAGAGAGCTGGCCAGTGACTGTCTCACGCGAAGCCTGTCTAGAGAACAGGGACAGCTCACTGGGAAAAAAGTTTTTATAGCACAAAAAGGGTACTTGTGTTGCTTCTATCTTTTGACTACTGTAAATAATACTGCCAAGAGTATGGGTCTTGAAGAGATATTTGTACAAATATCTCTTTAGACCCTGCTTTTAATCCTTTGGGGCATATACCAAAATTGGAATTGCTGGATCATGTGATAGTTCTGCTTAATTTTTTGAGGAATCTCCATACTATTTTTCTTTTCTTTCTTTCTTTTTTTTTTTTTTTTTTTTTTTGAGAGAGAGTGTTTTAATATTTTTTTTTAAAGAGAGAGAGAGAGAGAGAGAGAGAGAGAGAGAGAGAATTTTAATATTTATTTTTTAGTTTTCGGAGGACACAACATCTTTGTTTGTATGTGGTGCTGAGGATGGAACCAGGGCCGCACGCATGCCAGGCGAGCATGCTACTGCTTGAGCCACATCCCCAGCCCCCATACTATTTTTCTTAATGGCTGTTTTAATTTACTTTGCTGCTGCCTTTATTAGATGGAGAAACTGAGCCTCTAAGCAACTGGTAAATGTATAGTTTGTTACCATTCACATAGCTGGGATTTCAGGGCTGGGGTTCTAAGCCACAGCTTTCCCTATGTGAGGACCCTTTCTATGAGAGAGGCATATTGCCAAAGTGACAGTAACAGACTTCTTTAAAGAGAAGGGGCCTTTTTCTGGTCGCTGGAATTTCCTTCTTTCCTTATCTCCTCCCCTGATCTACCCTATCCTGATTATTGTTCAATGGTGCTCCTGTTCCTGTCCACGTATCTATTTTAGTTTTTCTGTTGGATCCCCTGCTTAGGAATACAGTATGGAAGTATATGTCTGATTGGGTCTCCTGCTTGTATACACAAACACTTTCATCACCCAAGAAGTTGACCTCATTGAAAGACTCTCTCCATGCTCCTTTGGTCTGGCCCTGCCCACCCTCCCTCTTCCTTACTGGCCATCTTGCCCTGGCTGCCTACATCTCTCTCAATGGTGGGATGTGTTGAGTGCTCACTCTGGGATAGAGCTGAATAAATGGCTAAGGAACTTCGCAAGAAGGAAACATGCTTCCAGGCTGTAGAATGTCACTTGTCATGCAGAGACCAGGTGGTACAGGCTCACAAGCACTTGCTATTAGCAACATTCTTGTGAAAGTATTTATACTGTGAAAATGGGCAGTGTTTACTTTTTAAAAAATATATCACATGTTTGCTTCCAGGTGAGAACAGTGAGTGAGGGAAAGCTTTGCAGAGCAGGAGCTATTTGAGCTGAATTTGAAAGGATGTGTAGGATTCGGATGTATCATATTTGGGCATAGACACCCTCAGGAAATAGCCTGGGAAGGAAAGGCTCCATAAGGAATGATGGGCACCTTTGGGTAGAGGAACAGAGAACAAGAAGCAAAGGTATTTAAAAAAAAAAAGTTAAAAAGGTAAGATCCTGAAAGACCTTGTGTGTTAATTACCAACTAGGAATCATTCATGCCCTTTCAATGGTTACTTTGTTTGCTAACTATTCACCAGTATCTCTTGGCGTCCACCTGCTCTTCTGTACCATGTTCTGAGCTCTGCTGGGGCTAAGGAGGTACACAGTGTATCTTCTGGCTTCCTGTTAGGTTCTGCCAAGAGGATGCTTTGGTGGAATATCAGTGGGTAGAAGAGAGATGCTTCTGCCTGATGCTAGTGGCTGCAGGCCTTTGCTGGCCTTTGCTGGCATTTGCAGAAAGGGTGGGGTGATTCTGGCCCCATGGGAGGCAGCTTCCTCTCAGAGGTCCACTCCCCATAATCAAGGCCTCTCTTCTGGGTTGATTAGAGCTGCCAGCTCACAAACCTTTGCAGCTTTAGGTTTCTGGAGATTGCTTCTTTCTGTTTTGCTCCCCCTAATACCTCCTCTTTCTGTTTTGCTCCCCCTAATACCTCCTCTTTCTTTTGGTTTTGTTGACCCTGTGAACATCTTTGGAACCAAATCCTTATATTAATTTTTCTATGTGAAGTACTTAGAATAATTTTCCTGACTAGACCTAATATATCTTCCTCTAGGAAATTTGATAAAGAAGACTGGGGCCAGGGCTTCTCCCGAGTTGCTGTCATTAAAATGGATTTTTAAGAACTATTTTATATTTACATAAAAATTGAGAAGATGGTACAGAGAGTTGCCATATACCCCGCTCTCTCTTTCCTCTATTATCAACATCTTGCATTTATGGGATTTTCATCACTTCCTATCCAGGGTTCACATTATCAATATGATCTGTGATTTTGAATTTGCCCTTGAAATGACCGTGACCCAATTTAGGTTTCTCCACTGCAAAGTCACTCTCCCTTCTTCCATGCTGTACTCTTTGGAAGGACACTCACTCTACAGCCCACATGTCTGTAGGGTAGGGAGGGATGTTCTCCTCTTGGGTGAGAAATGTACATAAATTACTTGGAATTCTACCGCCCAGGGGTTTAGTT